CTCCTTTTAATGGTTAATATCTGAAACCTAATTTATGATTGGTGTTTACTAGGGATGAGCTCAGGTTCCGTCAGAACCCGGTCCAAACCTAAGCTCCTCTAAGCCCAAAAGGAAGCTCCTTCCGGGAATTTCACTCCCAGAGCTGCACCTAAGCAAAGGAGTGGGATACAGTGACATCATTAACCTTTTATGGCCACAAAGCTATATTTGGTCAATGACATTGACCTAATATGGCCACATAGCCATATAATCCTTGAGTCCTTAAATTGCAGAGGAAAGAGTTGGAGGCAGGCAAGTTAGCCTTTCTAAAAACAATCAGTTACTATTGAATTTGAAACTTAATCCTCCATCCCATCGCACTCATGACCGGACAATAACCCAAATCCAACTGGGTGGGTGCGGTAGTGACAACGGATGCCTCCGTGAAATGTAGATAGATGAAAGTAGTCACTCGCACTCCATGATATTAAAGTCAATGCTGTTTATTGACTGAGATAACACACATCTCCTTAGCATAAGGAGATGTGTGTTATCTCAGTCAATAAACACTATTGAATTTGAATCTTCAGTCTAAAAAGTATAACAGTTGACCTTTTACCCCTGACTCTCAAGCTAAAGAGTCAGACTCGCTAATAAAATTAAATAAGGTGCCAAATATAGTTCTTCAAAAAGTAATACTCCAAGAGTATAATAACCTAAAGTGGAACAACAGGCAAACGTTTATTTTTTTAAAGAGTAGAAAAGAATTAGAACCTCTGCTTTCTTTGTCCCCATGACATTTTTAGGGCTGCAACAACTAATCGACATAATCGATTATAATCGATTATTGAAAAAGTTGTCAACTTTTTCAATAATCGATTAATCGACTTCCGATCAGTTGGCCCTGTTCACGGCTCCACACACGCTGCGCGCCGCACCTCCTCCCCAACTCACGCTCGCCGCTGCCAGACCCGCCCGCCCGCATCCACGCTCTACACGCCGCACCTCCTTCCCGCCTCACACTCACCACCCGCCCACATCCACGATCGGCACAGGGACGCGGGGAGATGTAGTAAGGAGGAGGAGGTGTGGGGGGATGACAGCCGCCGACAGACAGGTCCGATCTCAGAAGCAAGTTGCTGGAAGACTGCTCAGGTAAGCCTGCACTTTCCCACACATGGTGCTCTATAATGTATTGCTGGGATTTGTATTCCTCTATAGCTGATGGTACATTGTGCTGTATATTATACATAGGAATACAAATCCCAGCAATACATTATACACTGTATGTATAATGTATTGCTGGGATTTGTTGTACTCCTCTATAGCTGGTGATATTCTGCATTGCGCTGTATAAAGGACTACAAGTCCCAGCAATAATACATTATACAGCGCAATGCAGAATACCACCAGCTATAGAAGAGTACAAAAAATCCCAGCAATAATACAGTATAAAGTGGTACAATGCTAAATACCACTAGCTATAGAGGACTACAAAACCCAGCAACAGTACATTATACAGCGCAATGCAGAATACCCCCAGCTATAATGTACTATTGCTGGGATTTGTTGTGCTCCTCTATAGCTGGTGATATTCTGCATTGCGCTGTATAATGTACAATTGCTGGGTTTTGTAGTCCTCTATAGCCGGTGCCATTCTGCATTGATTGCTGTATAACTTTAAAGTTTCCATTTCACTATATTGCACACCACACTTTTTTTTTTTACTTCCACCGCTCCAAAGCTGGCTCCTGTGATGGACTACAATCTCAATACAAACTAGTAGTCCATCACTGGAGCCATTTTTTTAAATTTAATTTTATTGTTTATCCGATTAACCGATTAATCGAACTTAATAATCGGCTAACTAATCGATTTTGAAAATAATCGTTAGCTGCAGCTCTAGACATTTTCCTTCACTTCCTGTCTTACTGACAGATGGTCACTGTGGCAAGAAGTGAGAGTGAATGTCTTCAACAGACTGCAGTGGAAGCATTTTTTTGTACAGTCAGAAAGTTATAAAAGCTTGAGTAAACATTTATTGATATCTACGACTTTCTTGGAAGATTTGTGAGTGGGAAATCTACCTAATGAGGACAAATCTGACCACCAGGGACCCATACAACATTAGACACCCTTCCCTAGGGAAGGGGTTGACCGGATTTCTACTTTAAGACACAATTTTCATATTCTTAATTTTGTTGATTATTCATCTACAAAGTTGTATGGTGGGTGATGCTGGGCACAGATTTCGGGTTCGGGGACTTTTCCACTTTAAAGCTGAACTCCAGTAAGAAATACAATTTTAATTTCTTGTGCCCCCCACCCCATATAGAAAGGTTTAATAGCTCATCAACAACATGAGTTGTAGATATAATATTAAATAAAAGAATACAGAATGTAGTGTACCTAGAGTATTTGATCATTGTAACCAACTCCCCCTCCGCTCTATATAATGAAAATCCTATAATAAAAATAATAATAATAATGGCCAGACAGAATCTGTTACATTGGAGGTTATTGGAGAAATGCTTCTTGCATTAATGTTAGGTGAAGGGTCACCTACATTGTGGTCAGTGGGAGCGGTGCCCCTTACATTGGTGGTAAGTAGAGAAGTGACACCTTACCTTACTGTCATAGGGAGAGGTGCTCACTTACACCTATGGAAAAAATGCATCATTTAATTGGGGTTAGTGGAAAGAATACCCTTTTCAGTGGTTATCAGTGAGAAGAATGCAACCAGCTAAAAAGATCATTGGTGTCAATCTGACTATGCAGGCACCATCAGATGGGAGGTCAGTCACCCACTGCTCAAGGAACCCTTAGCAACCCTGGAGGAACCCGAGTTAAGAATGGCTGGTCTAGGAGGTGTGTTGAGAAAAGGAATATTTACATTATTCATTTCTGTCCGGTATCTGGCTTCTCTCTATTCCGCTCCTCTCCCGATACATGGGCTGGCCCTTGACATCCTCACAGGATCGATGGACCTTCATTGTATGTAATGTCTTCAGAAAAGGCGTCGCCAGTTGAGTGGAAAAGCTTCATGAGACTGGTCTTATGTCGTGGAGGAAGCCTGCGGGAATAAGGAATAGGGTAAGTATTTTTCTACTTTACTTACCCCCCTACACTAAACAAGCTTTTAAACCTTTGCTATCCAGAGGGAACACACATGAAACTAACATTTTAATGCTGACTGTAGTTCAGCTTAAAATAAAAGCCTATATTGGTTAGAGAGGAAAGCAGGTGAAAAAGGAAAATCAGAACCCTTGAATCTCTGAGCATTGTAACTATTCACATACAAATCTAACGCTGTTTATAATTAGATGGAGTGTCATTTGACTGTTGTGGTTCACCAGTTTTTACTTTTGTCAGTACAGACATACAGTTTATCCATCGCCGCTTTCACTTCGTACTGATTTATGCATTTGAAACATTTTTATTTAATTTTCACAACACTTTGTGTCACACTCCGGGCTCTGGAATCTTTTAGGTGTGGTTCAGTAGTAGCAGACTATAAATTCATATTGGCTGCAGCATTCTCTAACTATACCATTGTGGATTTGTTTCCATTTTTTTCTTGAAGGAATGTTAGAAGTGACAACATTTGACTGTAGTTTCCAAGGACATTTTGGTCTGGATTCATTACATTATATACATCATACTTGGACAAAGCAACTACAGTTACGAGAGAAAGTTTATGGACCTTTAGGGATTTTGAATTTCTGCATGAATAGCTATTAAATATGTTCAGATTTTCATTTGAAGTTATAATAATAAATGCAGTTTTATTTAACAAACAACATATACAACCGTTCTCATTGACCATAGCTTTATTGAAGAAATGGTTTTAGGCAACCAAGGTCATTTCACTGGCAAAGTATGTGAACCTTTAGGTATGACTGTGAAAACAGGGGTAACTGGATTTTAAAGTGACACCAAACTCAGGAGTTAAGTCTTAAAAATGCCTTCAAGTACCTCAACTAATAACAATACTGTATCCTATTTGTGTATCACTTGGCTATAGATCCTCAAATCATCTCTGAATTGGTGCTTACACTGTCCTTCCTTCTGGAGGGTGGCTACTTTTGTTCTCCATGGTCCATGTGTGTGTTGTAAAGTAGCCACTGCTCCAAACTCACTCCTGTGATGGACTACAATCTAAATACAAATTAGTAAACTAAATGTGAGATTGTAGTCCATCATGGGCAGTGGCGTAACAATCACCATAGCGACCCAGGGGGGCGCTATGGGGCCCGGGCAGGACATTCCTGATGCCCTGCGGACCGCTTGGGTCGCTATGGCATCTCACGCTGCTGGCTGTCACATCTGTGCAGCGGCGCGTTCCTCTCCACAGCCACTGCTGAGTCAGTGAGAGCCAGCAGCGGCGGTGGAGCAGGCTGGACCCAGCAGTGGAGGAGGAGGCGAGGCCTGGGGTTGGGATGTGAGGAGGAGGTGGGGCCCGGCGACGGGCGGGGCTCATCGCCGACGGTGGAGGTAGACAGGTAAGGAGTGTGACCAGCCCACCTGAGGGTGACCCTGCAGAGGCCACCTTAGCAAGTCTATGGTGGGCTCTGCAGGGTCACTCTCAGGTGGGCTGTGTGGAAACTCAATTGGGCTCTGCAAAGGGTGTAACTAGAGATCAAAGGGGCCCCATACAAAATTTTGCTATGGGGCCCTGTGATTTCTAGTTACGACCCTGATCATGGGAGTGAGCTTGGAGTGAAGACAACTTTACAACACACACAGGGACCATGGGGAGCTAAAGTATCCACCCCCCAGAAGGAAGGGCAGCGTTTGTTGTGTGAAGATTCTCAACCTTTTTAGTAACAGCCTAAGTTGTAATATCCACTGTATGGTGTAGTGGATGGTGTTAAACAGAGTGGAAGTCAATGGGTCAGCTTTTATGAACAGTTTTCTAACACAATATCATAACAAGCACCTTATAATAATTTAATTAAATACAATAGAATCCATAATCAGAACGACATAATAATTTACTTGTCTCTTTTTTATCTTTCTAGCACTTGTTACAATGGGCTGTGGACTAAATAAATTTGATAAGTTTGATGAGAAAAGGCCAGGGAATATATATTCTACACTGAAACGGCCATATGTTGAAACTAAGATTGATGTGTCATATGAATATCGTTATGTTGACTTCACAACCATCAGTGAAGGTAAGTTGAAAGCTTGTCACTAAAATATAAACTGTAACTGAATCAGTCAAGAAATAGCCCGATCCTATTTCTTTAAACCTGTAAGTGTTGTCTTAAATGTCAACACTGGAGTATTCAATCTAATTGCTGTGTAGCTGTGTCTTAGCATCACTGTTTACTAGAGGTAGCTGTCACCGGCTTGTGCTAGAAGGCTGAAAGTAACGTATTTCAATTGTAGCATAACATTGACTCTTAGATTTTATTCAAAGCGCACATAGACAGGCAAGGTTCTCCATAGAAATGTGCTGTATGAGATCTGCCAGTCCTCAAAACTACTGGGAACCATTGCACTGTAACATTTCACTTGGCTGATTGCAGGAAGTGGCGCACACACATATCACTTCCATGAGAAACCACAAAGGGCTTGGGGTGACAAAAAGGAAGACTGTGAGACTAGAGGTCAACCATTCTATAGTGTTGAATGGGTTAACAAAAATAGATCTTGTGATTGCTGTAAGTGTATCATAAAGTGTGTCTGTACTTACACCTGCATGGTCGTTTGAAACCAATACTTGGCAGAAACCATCTATCTCCATGCACACGTTTGTATTTTAAAGGTGTTTATTTTATTTATTTTTTGCTGTTAATTATTCTATTCTGAAAACACCGAAAATATTTGACTTGCTTATGCGTCCGACACCCCTGTAAAGTACTAAAAGCATGTCACCGGTACTCCATGAAATTGTTGCAAGTTTAATAAATCAAAAAAGAACAGCAACATTTTGGAGCCATTAAGCAGGTCCCTTCATCAAGCACAGGGGTGACACCCCTGTACATACACCATAGGAGGGTGCACATGTATGTTTTTCAGCAGTGTATTTACCTGTTTTCCTGAAACTCCTCATTAAAGATATAGTTACTGCAAATCTTAAATCATTAGAAAAATTCTCACTCTCCAAATGATATTTTCTGACTCAGATACAAAAACAACACAAAAAACAGAAATTATTTACCGACAGCACACATATTCTTATAATTCTGTATGTTTTATTTTAATGCCTATAGCCTTAAAGGAGACTTATTTTCGGGGGATGTCTTACTTTCGGGGAAACACGGTAGTTCTCCTTTAAGTTGATTCCTCATTCGCATGTAACAACCCTTGGCAGCCAGTTACTTACTGAGTATTCTTCTACTATGTGCCAGTTTATGTGCTCACATACAGTATGTGTATTTATCTAGTTACATATTTCTATTATACATGCTTCTTAAACATATTCTATGTTATTATTTTAAACCAAGCCTATCCATGGAGGAAACAGCTTCTGAAATTATGTTTTAGGTAATTGTAGTCTAAGAGAAATCACTGCATTATTAGTTGTCCTTATTGTCCTGTTTGCATGTCCACATTTAGCAATGGCCTCCGGCATTAATATTTGTTGCGTTTCATCATTCATGCATTCCTTTATTAGACATGCCGAGCCTGGTGACATCTGAAAAGGCTTTTGCAGTCTGTGCTCTGTATCTGTCAGAGTGATGGTATTTTTCCTTTCAGGATGTCTTGATTTTGTTGTGTGACTGTTTATGTGCACACTGTCTTTAAAGGAGATGTATTGATATAGTAAAATGTATTCTTCCCAGGCAAAGCTGCAGTGTCACATGCCAGTTCCATAGATTGAAAGCTGAGAGATCACGAACCACTGATCACGCAGCTCATGGTCTTCTCAATTCAGAGAGCAATGACTGTCAGTCATGGCTCCCCACAGGGATTCCCCCCCCATTCCTCTAGTGCTCATTGGAGAGACGGACATGGGAGGGGGCAGGCACAGCTGGTTCTGGCTCTAGAGAGGCAGAACTAGCTGTCAATCAGGCCGTGGGGTGGATCCCAACAATATTGTTGGGATCTCTACTGACTGCAGCGTGGCTCTACACTGTCAGCAAATAGTGGGCAGTAGCTTGCTAGATGCTGACTTTGGATCACAGGAGTACATTAGTAAATGTATTCTTTTGACCTAATAAAGAACTAAAGCTTTAGTTTTCTTTTAAAGTAGAACTATATCCTCTAAACTGTGCTTGTGTGGCAACAGTGCTGCACCGCTCCTAAATTCAGAGAAGCAGTGTCATGTAGTCTGTGCCTGCCTGTACTATAATAGGTTAAAAAAAGAAATGGTGCAGGGTGCATGGTAATTAGCATTGTCACTGCTGATTCACAATTCAGGACTGACAAACCTGCTTCTATAGCTAATAGCTGACAGTGCTAGTTTGAACTTAAAGTGTATTTCCACATTTGCAGTCAAATGTGAGAAAATCCTTCTATATGTTTGTTATGTGTTCCCATTCACTCAGCATCCCGAAAAAAAAAAATTCTTACAAAAATATATTTGACCTTTTAGATGTTTTGTTTCACCAGGCAACATGGTTGAATCCAGGTTTTTCTGAGCACCTTCACAGTGATCTGTCCTGATAGAAAAACTTTGGACTGAAATTTGAGGAGTGTGTTCCTCTCATTAACTTATTTAACAAACAATGGATAAGCCAGGCTTTTAATCCTTTAACCCATAACCCATCACCCCTCAAAGCCCCTCCTAACATTACAAAGAAGGAAAAGCAAGAAGAAATGTTAACACGTAAGAAGACAGGAAACCAGTAACAGCAGTTTAAACTTCAAGAAGCATGTTTTAAATAATTTTTAGCCTATGCTATGAGAGAACAACCATGGATTACAGTAAGGCACACATTACAGTATTGGTTTATGTTAAACAATCTGAGGGTTTAATGTCACTTTAAGTGCATCAAAGGCATTGTGTTGTTGACCCAAACAGGAAATTGGCATACTTGGTTCCTCTTGCTCATGCTCCATATTTATAGTGATAAAATATGGGAACAATGGGCATGTATTTGACACATGTACTAAATATGTTTTATGTTTGCTTTGAAATACACTTGCATGTGAATCTCTACAACCTGAATCCTCCCACATTGGCAGAAGTCCCCATTGACACCTGCTGGCAAATCCGAAGTTGCATCATAGTGCAGCATCTATCAACCTTTTTTCAGTCACGGCACCCTATAAAAGTATACAAAATCTTGAGGCACCCCAGTCTAAAACATAAAAAACATAAATGTAAGCCAGGAAGCCAGAAGGCACCCGGGTTGAAAAAGGCTGATCTAGTGAAACAATGTTACGTCAATCTAGAGTTATGGTTGGGAAATAGTATCTATGTTACAGCATAGAGGGGGGCCAAATCATCGGGGGAGGGGTGGTGGTTAGGCGAAAGATGGAAATCCCCGTTATTTGCAGATTTATGTGTAGATGTGGTCGAAAAAAAATTGCTTCTTTATGCGAATTTCTAGTGTTCCAAAATACTGCATTGAAAGTAATAGACATAGATGTTCTTTCCACAATCACACAAGAATACAATTTCCCCATTTAACATTGTCAGAATTATGAGTAATCTGGCAAAGACATATTATTCTGGTTCTGGGGCAAATAGCCCAGAAACACATTTTCTCAAAGTGGCTGCATGCCAAAGTGCACTTACTCTAAACAGGGCAATTTCTCTAATAGCACACGGGTAGTTTCTACAAAAAGCCTTCCATTTGATACTGTGCAAAACTGAATGAGGTCGAATTCTGTGTACCCTGAGAGGAAGAACTCAAGGCTAGCTTAACAAAATAGATGTCTTTGTTTTTACTGGGCTGTCAATAAGAAGTAAGGCTGGGAAGGTATAAGATCTAGAGCAATGTCACATACAACGGCTATAGCAAGGTTCAACATTTCAATAAAATCTTGTCACTTATCTTCTCCAGGAGGATTATTTTTAAGACTTTTTGTCAACGGTCCAAATGTAAAAATAACAATGTATAAGATGAACTCCTTGTTTTAAGATGATCTCCAGGCAAACAGCTAAATACACAGATGAAATGCAGAAAAGTCAGCTGTTTCATATGCCTATGGATTTGTAATTCTGTCCATCCTGTTCTGAGACATACACAGCTCTGCTACACTACACATCCTTGACTGGCAGGGGGGGGGAAAGCTGACTTGTCTCTGCTGCAGTTCAGTAACACTCAGGCTAAGTTCACACCGCACGACACCCGGGATGCACATCCCAGGATCGCGCGGTCCTGTATAATGCAGGCAGCAATTTCGGTATGGCCCCATTAATTTCAATGGGGTGACATCCGCATGGCAATCGCAGAAAAACGGACAAGTACCTTTCTTTTGCGATACACGGCGCGCGGCTGTTTCAGCGTGTTCAGAAGCATGGGCGGAATCACGGCGGGAAACCGTGCGATCTGCCCAGGGCCACTGGGGTACCATTAGAAAATAATGGCACCCACAGCGTGATTGATTCACACCTTGGCGGCTCCTAACCGCGCGGCAATATATACCATAGCGTACAATGCACCTACTGTTTGTTACAGTGCAGCAGGTGCATTGTGTTGCCATTCATTTGAAAGGCACTCCGGCTGCAATATGATCGACTGTGCTACAATGAATTGTACAACAATACCGTTCAGCGCGGCTACTTGTGGCTTGCACAACTTTTGTAGGTGCACGGCAACATACGGTATTGCGGTACAGCACGATCCTGTGTGTTGCGACACGGTCAGGTGCAATGAGGCTGGAGGTGCCATTCAAATGATTAGAAACACAAAGCACCTCCTGCGCTGTAACCTACGGTAGGTTGAATTGTACGGTCGCTTGCATTAATTGCTCATAACTGTGAGATTAATGCAGCGCTGTGGTGTGAATGGGCCCTAAACTGCCTGGATGGAGGAATCCCCCACTGGGCTTTTGCTAGTTACAATATTTGAAAAGTGACTGCAGCTTATTGGCTACAGTGATTGGCTACAGTCATTGTTTGGCTAAGCCCTGGTTCACACCTAGGAGTTTTTGAGCAGTTCGAAAAGCGCTTTTAACTGCCCAACACAAGAAACCCCATGATTTTCAATGGCCCTGGTTCACACCTGAGCAGAAAAACGCCTAGCAGGAAAACGCCAAACGCCTGAAAAGATAC